GCATTCCAGATAAAGGAAATCACGTGAGCAAGACCAGACAGAGGTAAGCAGTATCTGGGGGAGAGGTAACGACAGTAAAGGGATCAGCGTGGACCACAGCAAGTGAATTGGGAAACAGGAAAATCAAGCTGGATGAGTAAGGCAGGGCCAAGCTACTCTACTACAGCACCTTCTCCCTCTCTTTCAAAGGAGCATAAATAAGTGAAAGTGGAATTTTGTAAGTGTTTATTTTCAAACAAGAGCCCCACACACCTCCTTGCCATGGGCTAAGTCATCCTTATGAATCTCTGCTATTTTTTTTATCTGCTGCAACAACAGTACAGACATTCTCCCCAAGAACGCAGGCTTCAGCAGGCCTTACTTTTCACCTGAAGCTGTTCTAAAAGACAGCACGAGTATTAGTTATTGAATCAACAACCCAACAGAAGCATCCAAGTTCAAAACTAAAAAATCAGTCTAACACCACTTCAAAAGCCCCTAGTCATCATGGTACACTTTTCAGAAAAGGCCATAATATACCCCCAAAAAGTACATCAACCTGTCTCAACCTTTCTGTCCCCTACCTCAAGGGCCTTCATGTTCTAACAGATGTGTGTTCCTTACAAACCTGGCAGAACTGCTGATGCTATGGACTATGCTCTGAATGCAATAATTAAGTCTGAGTGTTTCAGGGTTACATAGAAACAGTTCAAAATCCAACATAGTGGACAGCATCAAGGCCAAGCAATGAATCTTCCTAAGTTTATTCAGTACCTTATGGCCTTCAAAGCACTTTTTATATGTGTGTGTGTGTGTGTGTATGTATGGGTATATATGTATATGTGTGTGTATGTGTGTGTGTGTGTGTATGTATGGGTATATATGTATATGTGTGTGTATGTGTGTGTGTGTGTGTATATACATATATAATCTTGTTTTATAGACGTTATCTTGTTTAATCTTTACAATACTCATTTGAGTAGGAACTGTCCAATCATTTAATCAACAGATATCTCTACCTAGTTCTGTGTACATGCCAGATACTGTTCTACACACTGAGCAAGGAACAAGGCAAAGCCCCAACCACCATAAAGCCTGAATTTCAGGGCCGGCCCATGGCTCACTTGGGTGAGTATGGTGCTAATAATACCAAGGCCACAGGTTCGGATCCCTGTATAGGGATGGCTGGTTAACTCACTTGGCAGAGCGTGGTGCTGACAATACCAAGTCAAGGGTTAAGATCTCCTTACCAGTAATCTTTTTGCCCATGGCTCACTTGGGTGAGTATGGTGCTAATAATACCAAGGCCACAGGTTCGGATCCCTATATAGGGATGGCTGGTTAACTCACTTGGCAGAGCGTGGTGCTGACAATACCAAGTCAAGGGTTAAGATCTCCTTACCAGTCATCTTTTTAAAAAAAATAAAATAAAAAATAAAATATTGGGGTGATCATTGCTTCTGTCCAAATACTCCTGGTTATCCTCCTTCCAAGAAGTTCCCTGCCCCCTTTGAAGGTTAGTGTGGCCATGTGAATTGCTTTGGCCAATAAAATGGGAGCAAAAGAGACATGTCTCACTTCCAGGCAAAAACCTGGTGCCTGAATATGGTTCCTTCTCATGTAAGCATATTCAGAGATGGTGCTTCCATTAGCTTGGGTCCCTGAAGGACTCCAATTTACAGAGCCTCCCACCAACCTGAAAGTGTGTTCAACTACTGAGATTTTGTGGTTTACCTCATCACAACCTATCTATCACATCTGATGCAGATTTATAGCACAATAGCATTTAGTACCCTAAGCACAGAAATATACAAGACAATACTATCTACTTCCCTAGGGTACACATATAACCAACAAACAAGTGGAAATTATAAAGCAATATACTAAATACCCTAGAGTGAGTAAGCAGGTGCCTATAAAAGAAAAGGAAATGGGGAGAAGGGAATGAGTAAAGGAGAAAAAAAAATGAAAAGGCATAAAAAGGTATACTAAACACATTGTGCAAATACTACAAATTTCATTCACTCATTGATTCATTCAACAAACATTTGTGTGTCTATTATGTGCCATATACTACAGAGCAGTGAATCAAAAAAAGGCAGCCCTATGCTCATAGTTTATGGTGTACAGAAGAAACAGATATTAAAAACACCCCAGTAAAAATTACAGACAAGGATTAAGTCTCATTAAAAGATCAGATTACATGAGAAAGAGGACCTACTTTAGATTACATGGTCTGTGAGCATCTCTGAGAAAATGACATTGAAGTGGAGAGATGAAGATTGCTTCCTCCCTAGCTAGAGAAGAGAGAGGAATAATTCATTCTAGGCAAAGGGAAAAGCATGTGCAAGGGCCCGGAGGGAGCACAGACCATCCCATGGAGGAAGTGAGAGGACCAACGTGGTAAAAGAAAGGAGAGGCAGGAAACGTGGCTAGAAAGAGAGATGGGGAAGGTGCAACACTGTAGGCAGATCAGTCTCAGAGGCCAATATAAGGAGTCTAGATTTTATTCTAACTGCAATGGAACCAGAAAAACATTTTAAACAGAAGAATGATATAATCTTATTTCCAATTTATTTTATTCTAACACTTACGACCCTAGCAATATTCTCACACTTTTGCAAAATTGGCAAAAGAAAGATATTTTTGCATTTTTTCTTTGAGGACCCCCAGAGCTTGCATAAATTTCAGGTCCCTTATCACCCAGCTCCATCTCCAAATGGGGTAAGTGCTATGTTAGAGGTAAATCTCAAGGTGCCAGGAGAAAAGTAACCTTGCCAATTTGCTACTAAGAGTTCTTTACAGTCAATGCATTTTTTTTTTTTTTTAATTCTTTAGTTCACATCATCTGCTAATGTTTAAAATTGTGCCCTGGTCTAATGATAGAAATCAAGAGCAACAGAGTTCCTTCTGCTGGCAGCCCCAGACAGAGGAAGCTTTACTTGAGAAACACTCTCAGAGGTGAAAGATGAAAATGTATACAACTTTCCCCCTCATCAATGCTAGGAAATGTAGGGGAACAGTCCCTATCTGTGTCGGGCAGCCTACACTAAGATGCCTCCTATTGTAACACAGCAATGAGGCATGGAGGTAGTTACAGATGGCACAAAAAACTAAGCTAGTTGTTTGTCCAGAAGCAAAGGCACCTTAACACACATAGCAACCACTACAAATGGATATTACCTTCCCGTTTCCTTCAGCCTTCTCAACACTTATCCAGAAACAAAGGCACCAGCAGCCAATATTTTTTGAAAGGTTTGCTTGTATTAGCTCCTTTAATCGTCACAAGTACTCTAAGTAGACTCTATTCTTAGCCCACTCTTGGAAATGAAAAAACTAAACCTAAGCCTTAGAGAAACTAAGAGACTTGTCCCTGGTCACAAAACCATAAGTAACAGAGCTAAGCTTCAAACCTAGCCTGGCTCCTGAACCCAACCTCTTAACCACTGTTTAGAACCTACCAGTCCCACCCAAATTCTCCTGCAACCAAATCCAGGGTAGTTTCTTCTTATCCTCCTTGTTCTGTTTTCTTTTAATGAGATTTCTCCCCCCTTGCAAGAATTCAGTTGTATCACAATTAACAACGGAATGACAACAGGTACTTTTACTTAGTATCCACCTCCAAATCAACTAGGAAAAGGATGATCAGGCCTTAACTTTCAGCCGCAATTCAATGCAGTCAAAACTTGTCCTGAAAACAGTGAGGACTACTGAAGAATCTCCTGCTCTGGAGGCTTTCAGTCCATTTTAAGGGTGTCTAATACCGTACACGAACACTGAATGATTGTTTGCAATGCAATCCACCGACCTGTACAAGTCAACATCATGCAAAACAGATACTACAGTATTGAAGGGGGGTCTAATGAAGGAATCTGTTGGGAACAGGTCTGAGGAACCTGGCTCAGTTCACACCACTGGTCCACCACCGGCCTTGTGATCCTAACAGTGATGAACAGAGTCACTAAGACAACACGTCCCCGGGGATATCAAAAATCTGAGGAGAGGAAGGGGTACTGAAATCACCACAGGGCAGAAGGTCCAAGCCTACTACTCTATTAATTTCATCAGCTAGCTTCCTAAAGTCTCCAGCGTTCAGGTAAAGAAGAACCTAATCTTTTCTGGTTATTTCTCCAGCAAGCTGAGTGTCTCTCCCTCACATAATCTTGTCCCTTATCTGGGACCCAGGAGAACATGGGAGCTCAGAAGCCCCCATAAAACAGCCTCATGGTTATTTGATGAAAAAAGTGCTGGTTTGTGAGCAACACTGGAAGCTGCGGATATGCAGCACACTGCGTGTGATCTCTATGGTCACAGCATTCCTGTCTCAAGCTAGGAGTTTAGGGCTCATGATCAAGTAAGGAAAGCCAGGGAAGCCATTGGTGAAGAGATGGTTTGTTGAATGAATGAATGAAGAGTCAAATGAAGACGAGGAAAGCCGCCCTTTGAGCAAAACAGTTCCCAGGAAGAAGGCCAAGGACCGGGAGCCCTCCAAGTCATCACGGGAAAAGCCACCGGTAAGTCTATGTACACCCGCCCCCACGGGCCCCACAGGTGTCATGCACGAAGGAGAGGATGCCGCTCACAGGTCCCAACTCTATGCTCCATACCCTGAGTGGTCTCGAAGGTGCAGACGCGATCTCAATTCTTTCCAAGACATTTCTCTCTCCCCGTTTTAGACCAGAATCCCAGAGGATCACATTTAGAAAACAGCTGGGGGGAGGAAGGGGGAATTTACCAGATTATATTTCCTTGGGAGAAGACTGGTCAGTGGCCAGGGACGACAGAAGGGGGCGGGGGGTTGAGACTCGCGGGGTCCACTAACTCGTCTGAGTCAGAAGCACGATCAGTGCTTAGTCACCGATACCTCGGCAGCCGAGAGTTCCTCGCCCCCTGCCAGCCCGAGTCGTACGTGACGAACCCCAGCGCAGCTCTGCGCGTCGCGCTCACCCGACTCGCGCTCTTGCGCCCGGCGGGGGCCTCCCCAGCCCTGCCCCGGCGCTCGCCGCCGGCCGCATACTTACTCCGCCGAACTGGTCCCGTTAACCGCGGAGCCGTCAGGGGCCGGGTTCAGCTGGATGGGCGTCGGCTTCTTCTTGGGCATTTTGGACCTGGGAAAGTCGCTTCCAACTCCGTGGGGAGGGCTGCCCCACGGCCGCTGTGCGGGGCCAAGTCGGGGCCACGGGCCCGGAGACTACCTTATGGGGGCGCTCCCGTCAGCGCCGAGGGGCCAGAGGCAGTCCCCTGGGACCCCTGCCCCACCCACCCCGCGCAGAAAGCCGAAAGGCCGCCGCCGGGTCGGAGAGGAGTGGGCAGTGCGCGCGCGGCTCGGCAGCCGGGACTTCCTCCCTCTCTTCCTCAGTCTCGGGTTCGAGCGGCGGTGCCGGGCGCGCACCAGAACCCTCCTCA